TAATACTGATAGAAACAATATCCTAGTACAAAAAAATTGTACTTAATAACACAAGAAAATTATTCAATGGATTCTAATAACTTATGTTTTTGTATAAAGATATTTTTTCTCTCAGTATATACAATAGTCTTTTGCTCTACATATTCATAGAATGTATTTCTTCTAGTTTCGAGGTTCGGACTATGAAAGAAATCAGAATCTATGGAAGAAATCAGTGTTGTATCGTTGATTTCTTCCGGATAAATAAGATAACGCGCGTTTTTCGGCACCAACGAGCGCGTTCCGAAGCGTACGAGCGTATAATTTCTCAGCGTTACACACGATCGATTTTACCACCGTTGTTCGCTCCGCTTCCACGCACTCCGCTTAATCAGCGTCAGTAACCTTCGATCGTGGTCGAACCAAGATCGTGTACGGATAAAGTCCGAAACAAGCCCGCCTGGACCACCCGGGCTATTCGAAGTAACACGCCCGAACGAGAGGTACGACACGATCCCGCGGTGTCCGATATCCCATCGGGAATGTTTGACACCTGTAAGCGTTGTTCGTATATATAAGAAAATCGGTGGCACCATCGATCATTGTCATCGTCGTGATTATCAAGTAAAAACGACGTGACGTACCGTTGTCATTATCTTTAACTGATCTTCGCGTGTTGATATGATAAGAATTGCCTTTATTTCGTTAATTTACCAAACAAATTTTCGATGGCAGTTCCTATGAACTAGCTAATTTGTAAAAGTTCAAGTTCGCATCGTTTGAGGAAGATGAAAAATTTGCAATGAGAAGTCTCAAAATCATATAGATTTAATTAACATACTTAGTCAATATATTTTAAAGATATACGGGTGTAGTCTCTGCAAACAATGACAAGAATCGGAAATTTATACTTTCTGTATAAAAATACGTTAAATATATATATATATTCATAATTCAATTTTAGTTTAAACGAACATTTTTTAATTTTATCTAAATTATTTTTTAAAAACATATCTGTTTCTATTGATAATTTTGATCTAGAATCTAAATTGCTGTCTATAGACATATAAAACTTTTGTAAAATTATTTAAAAATATAATGTAGAAAAATCTGTAATTTTTTTCATATAATTTTTTTATTTTATTGAAATGGTACTTCTTAATTTTCCGAATATTATAATTAAACATATTTTTAAATAATTTGAGAAACAAAAAGAGTAAGTTCTTCGTGAGATGCGAATGCAATGCGCGGCTTTAACAATCGGTTTGATCTAAATGTGTTTCGAAAAGAATGACGCGTAATCTGTAAGGTAATATCTACTAATCGTATTTCACCGAAACCTTTCTTTTCGCGGACCACCAGTCAGACGCATTTGTTAATGATGGCAAAAGGGGACCCGCCGTCTTTGAATTTTCAAACGCGTACTTCATTCATTAACTATGCATTTTGGGAAGATCGGGAAAATCTCGCTAGATATCCGAAGTGAAGAAAGTGCTATCCTTGTAAATTTCTCTTTCCGCCCTTCCAAGTTTTCAAGTTATTGCGAGGGAATATCGTAATCTGATCGTATCCTTTGATACTGGCGAAAACTTGGAAGAGAGAGAGAGAGAGAGAGAGAGAGAGAGAGAGAGAGAAAAAGGAAAGCAACGCAGGAATGAGTGAAAGAAAACGAAAAGATCGAAGAATGGTGTAGAGATGACACGATCTTCGACGGAAGGATCCTGGGGTCTCTCTTCGCACCTATTTTAACGCGCAGACTTTATCGCAGATCGGATCAGCCAATATTTGTCTCCCAAACGAGAAATTCTGCTGCCTCAGGAGCCTCACTTTTCGTCCTTCGGTACACCTATAGCGATCTAGATCTTGAGCTATTTGTCGTCTCTCGAGAAACACAAGACAACCAGGCAAAACAACCAGGAGCTATCGCATTGCTTTTCAAAAAGCCTTCCCCGATCCTGGAAAGTTGCGAACGTGCGAGACTTGATATTTGATATTCAGATTAATTTTGCAGCTTCCTTTTTCTTTTAATTATAATAAAAAGAAGAAGATAAAAGATGACTAATGTTATAGCAATGACACATTGAACAAATTAATAACTTATATTAATTTATTTTTTCAAATTTTTCACTTGAGATAAAAAGAAGATAAAAAATTTAATTATATAATGATTAATGTTATCATTAATCATTATAAAATTAAATTTTTTATATGACATTGAACAAATTATTGACTTATATAACTTGTATAACTTATTTATATAAATTATATTATTATATAACTTATATTATTTAATTCAATTTTTCGGATCTTACTATTTCTGTCTTACTATTATTTGTCATGTAGGCAAAACTTCTACATGATTGATCACTTTCATTTTTTGCATCTGCATGAAGGATAATTTATCAAAGAAAGATATTAAATCCAATAAAACGCAAGTACGATGCTCTTAAGTAATGTCGATACAAATTTTACAGAAATTTGAACGGGTTCTCATGAAGACGGCGCGATAAAACGTCCGGTCGGACTATCGAAAACCGTCGCGTCGCCGCCCACATCCGGAGGAATCGGGGAGCGGTGATGGTGGCGGCGCCATCGCCTCCGGATCGCTCGTAAGGCGTTTGTTGGTTTTACCGGTTTATAAAATCGTTAATTCGCGCATTTATCCCGTGCGCGGATCTCGGGGCCCCCGTCCTAAATTGGGCCGCTCTCATAAATCTCACGACCCGTCCGTCCGTCCAATTTCAGATAATACAGCGAGACCGACGTGCTGAAGGTGAAACCATCGTCGTAACGTTTCTCGCGAGACGTGAAACAGGACGTTGACGTTTTCTCACCCTCATGAGAGAAACTCGACGCGATCTTGAGGGCTGAAATTATTTAATTTGAATGAATACGTTAAACAAGTTCTTAATACGAATTAAATAAAAAATTGTTTTTAAATACTGTGGGTATGCCATACTCCTGTATTCTAAGGGTGGTATTCATAGTCGATTCTTATATATTCAAGACTATTTTAAGTACAATTAAGATGTCACGAACCAATTAGAGGGTAGTATTAGCATCTCAAGACATTACTTAAGATGATCTTGAAATAAGAACGGACTACCTAGTGAGAAATGATAATGGAATCAACTCGATGTTGATTCGAAACCATCAAATCGACGTCGAATCAATGTTGATTCGACATCGATTTCATTTTCATTTCTCACTAATCTAAGCGAGAGTTAAAAATTTAGCTAGACACAGATCTGAAAATAATTTTATTGAGTCATCAAAATAATTATATAGAACGCTCAAGCATGATAAGCAGGGCTCCAAAAAGTTTCAATATTTTAATAATCTAGAATAATTCATCAAAAACGATATATAACTTCATCAATATATTATTGGTTTACCTTGATCAGCTAAATTAAAAACAAAACAATTTCTTTTTCTATAATCAAAACTGTCTTAATTCTATGTTCTCAGTTTGAGCGTTCTGCATAATTATTTAGATGAGGTCCAACAGAATTTAGTACGTAGGTAAATTTTTAGATACTTCAGTAAAATCATTCTTTCCATGTAGAAATATAAAACAGTCAGCTGTGAAATTTTCATTCTCACTTCGAATCAGTGTACAAAAGGGAGTATCGAAATAAAGAAAACGCATCCCCTTTCTGTTCATCTCAGCACCGACTGTCGTCGCGAGATGATTTCCGGCGTCATGATTCGGCACGATTTCTTCAAAGCACGGGTGCATACTATATATCCCCGCTGGTCCCGGGCCCCATCGTCTCCGAGGGTAGTGAGAATTAAGGCAAAGGCCAACATATATATGTATATATATATAAAAGAGGGGGTGAGAGGACGAGACGCGCGCGATCCTGCACGGGTTGGCCCTGTCGAGGGAGGACGACAGGGCCATATGGAGAGCATACGGCGAGCAGCAGGCTCGTCCGCACCCGCTTCCCTCTTTCGAGGGTTTAATCTACCCGCGCCCGCCAAACTACTGTCCAAAGAAATCAGGTAAGCTCCAAACTTTGGCGCGTCTCCGTTTCCGCTATTAGGCATTTTTACATATGTGTGGACGCAATCGCGCGCGCACGTGACGTATGGATCCGCTCTCAGGAGATTATCTCAACGCACTTGTGGAACGGAAGAGATGTTATATCATTTATTCTGATCGTGTCGACGCGTTCTTCGACTCCCTCAATAGTTACCGCATAAAACAAGTTGGTGGAATTTTTATTAACCAATTAAACATCAATCTACTCTCTGAAAAAACTTTAGGTCTATTTTCTATGGTTGAACCAGTGTATACTTTTGGCACTTAAAGGTCTGGTGTTTCATTTTCTAATTAACTTGCATAGTTTCATTCAATGGGCTTCACTCATGACATTATTATAGATGAAGCCCATTGGATAAAACATCAAGTTAAACTTAACTATAAGATTAGATAATGAAAAATTGAACTAAATGAAATAGGTATATGTTTGATATTTGAAAGTAAGAAAGAAAATTTTAGTTCAGTTTAGTGCAGGAATAAAAACAGATCTTATTCTTCAATGCAAAATATTAAGTCTTTTGTTTCTGTGCTAAATTTTAGTATCTTAACGTAGGCATATTCAGCCAGAAATAATTAGTCAAATCGACAATCCACGTTGATTCTACTAATTATTTCCAGTGGAATAATTATATTAATAACATGAACATTGAAAAAAATATATTGAAAAAAGTCTGGTAATAGCTATCAAATATTGAATAAAATAATTTCAATCAAATGGTTGACAAATAACCAAAAATAATTTTATTTTTCTAAATATTTAGTAATTATTTTCAAACGATTAGTTATATTATTATGTTTGGTGATACATAAGTATTTAGAATAGTAAAATCATTAATTGAATATTTGATTGAAATGATTTCATTCTACATTTAGTAACTATTACATCTCTTCAGAGTGAAAATAATAAGTATACGATTGCGATTAATGAAAGAGTCACGCAGAGAATAATATCCGTCATGAAGACGCAGATCGAGAATCAGAAGTATTTAAAGGATAGAGCCCAAATCCAATCAAAAGGAACTAATATTCGATTGTCAACGATCTTGGGACTGTAACAAGCGACACGACGGTAATCGTTTGGTATCGCGCGTCGCCGCCGACACTGGATTCGTCGATTCCTCGAAGAGAAGAGACTTGTTCTAGTAGACGATCCCGGGTCCTCCTGTCTCCCGCTTGCCAACTGTCCCAGGTGTACGGGTTTCGTGGGCCCAGGACGAAGGAGAGGAGGACTCGAGGCGTGTGGCTGGCGCGTGCTGCTAGTCCTCGATTCCGATTCCCCGCCCTTAAGTTGCTTCCGATCGTTCCCTTGACTGCCGTCGCCACCACCACCACCACCACCACCACCATCACCGCCACTGCCGCCACGGTTCGCACCACCGCCGCCGGCATCGTCACGCTTAACGAACACGCGAGGTGAGGCTCTTTCGTGCTTAAAGACACAAAATTCTCGTTATGCCGGTCTGTTTCTCTTATTCTTTCTCTTGCCTGATCGTCGGATATCGTGTATTCTTCACGAAAGGAGACACATATTTCTAAATTAACGATTTTTTTACATTTTATCTATACTGACTCTTAAAAATGTGCTTTCTACTTTTTAAAATTTTTGATGGAGGCATTTTAAATATAATGACTTTTAAAATCATAGAATAACATTTAGTGTAATCACTATTTGCTTGCAATGTTTTTTTAAAAATGATAAATAATATTTTCTGAAGCTAATTGTAATGAAAATTACCTTGTTATACTTCACAGCTTAGAAATTAGAAATAGCAACACTGGGGGAAAAATTTATTTAATAATGTGAAATGAAACGATATTTTTTAAACTGCGCGTTTCGCAACTTCTCGTTATTCTTCATTTTATTTTTAAAATGTTAAATATGCTAAATATGCTTAATGCTTTCAGCAAGGAACGATATTAGTCCGTCGCGTCCTTGCATCTAGCTAAATTTCGGCACGGCAATCGCTTTCCAATTATGGAAAACAAACGCATATATATACATACCTACAGGGTAGAGTCTGGCTGCTCTTTGCGGTTCGTGCAGAAATCGGTGGCGATTTTCGTGCAGACGCATCCGATCTCGGGGCGTATAGGTAGATTATTGATTATCGATTTTCGCGGCGTGCGTGCCGACCCTGGGCGATAATTTGATTCGAACAATCGTCTTGGCCGTTGTTAGGAGTCACGTTACTACAACGTCGGCATAATTAGAGACGAGATTATGTTTGTCTCACACGTGTTATACGTGTTACACATCACACGCTCGTAGACGGCCGGGCCGTCGAATTCAAAAGTGTTAAGGTTGAAATCGCTAATTTACATTAATCGGCAACGAGCGTGTCCAGAACATGTTTGCACGGCCCATCCGCATTGTTCCCTTACTTCATTTACATTGTATTCTATTTTACATTGTACTCGCCATAAAATTTTTCGTATTTTTTTTATCGTTTCCTACTGTCTGCTCATTCGATCCCTCCATCTAGATCTCGGCTTTTCATTACTCATCATGCTTGAGTTTCCTACATAATTATTTTGATGGTCCAATAAAATTATTTTCAGCTCCATATGTACCTAAATTCTTAGATACTTTGGCAAAATTATTCTTTTCGTGTAATAAAGAAGTAATTAAAGAAATTAAGTGCCGATTAAAAAGTTTACTTTCCCTTCGACAACTCCTATAAAATAAAAAGTTTCCTGACTACCTTATCTTCTTCTTCGTTTTACGTCTGCTCGCATAAGTGTGTCTTCGCATCTTCGCCGACGACCTTCGAGACGATTGGTAGATTCACATATAGAGAACCGTATATATTGTGGAATATACTTATCCTTTCCTTCGTCTTCTCGCCGGGCGACAACGGCGCGCCCGGATTTCTTCGGGAATCAAGTTTCTCGTTACTAATTTTGTAACATTCTTCGCGCGCGAAGAAGAGAGCAAAAGTCGCATGGCACGCGAGGCATTTATACAATGGCAGCATCGTCGAACGATGCCAGATCATTGTGGCAATAGTTCTAAGCTGCGTTAGCATTTCTATGGCGACTGGAATATGGTCAGTTCGTCGAAAAAATCGGTACTGCGCCTGCGGCTGTTATTTATTGTAAGACGCGGCCGACCGACAGGTTAAAACGTTTAGCCATTTATCCCGTCATTGACGCTAATCAGGAACGTTATTGGCATTGTAACGGACGAGAGAAACATTTACGTGTGATTTTTCACGCGCACGGCGTGATCTCCTGGCAGAGATGTGTAAATCGCGCCACGAACTTGCTCATCGCTACAAAAGGGTCGTCTCCACGCAAACGAGATTGTTGCAATATTGGTAACTCCTCACGATAGGGTAGGCGAATCGATGAATAACCGATCATCGATGAATAACCATTTCTTCTTTTTTTTATTCTTCTTTTCCCGATCGCGTTTAAAATTATCTTTTCAAGACTGAGAACATTATACATCACGATATTCAAAACAATTGCTTCTCAGAGTGACATGCGGAGAAATTAATCATCTCCTTTTATTATTTGATAATAATTAATAGATATAATATTATAATTAAATTAAATAATTAAATATGATAATAATTAAATTTTCTTTTAATATGATACCGATTTCTTTGATGTGTTCAGCTCTTACGTCTTGTGTATTTTGATTTACACACAAGCGTATTCACGCACATGTTTGCATCTGACGTTGAGAAAGAACTCGAGCTCGTGGGAAAGATATCCCGCCCACAACTGGATCGCGCTTCGATTGAATCGGTTGAAAGTTTCTCAAAGTTTGGAAACCAAGACGTTTTGTTCGATTAATTTTAAAAACTGGGCATTTTTATGGCTCTTGTAATTGATGTGAATGGTCTGCTGTAGGGATTTCAGGATCGCGCGCGACCCTTGGGTGTTAATGTAGCTAAAAGTTGAAAACCCTTCCGACCCCACTATCGCCTTCTTTCGAGTGGCTTGAGAGGTGAACGATTTAGATCGGAATTTTTTCCCGGCCGATTTTCCCATTGCGCAATCGAATCTAATTTGTGGTAATCGATCTGATCTCTTCTTAAAGATCTGATTGGACCTGCAGTAATTTGAGGAAGCTATTTAGGAAAAAATATTGATACAAATTACTATTATAAATTATATATAACTTTCACGCGCAAAATCAAACGCCAGTCGACTATAAAATATTATATTATATATATATTATATATAATTATATATTATACAGAAAGAACAATATTTCTGAAAATTAAAATTTTGCTGGACACAAGTCTAAAAATAATTTTGTTGGACTATTAAAATAATTATATTAAAAACTAAATAAATGATGAACAATGCTGCAGAAAATTTGATATTTTAATAACTGCACTGAAAAAAAAATTTCTAAACTTAACTAAATGCGTTTAGTTCGTAAGTGAATTTTTAGTTTAAGTACAATTTATGTGTTTAGTTTAAATATAAATGTGAGTCATATCAATAAAATCTTGTAATTTAAAACATGTTATTTAAAACATGTTGAATTAACAAATATTTGCTTAACAACTCATAACCACACTTAATTAAATCAACTAATATTTTTTTAAATCAACAATCTTTCTCAATTTTCTCATAGTTTAAATTTCTAATAAAATTATTTTATGTGTGGTCTAACAAAATTATTTTTAGATCTACATCCAGCAAAAATTTAGATCGTTTAGGAAAATTATTCTTTCTGTAAAATTACGAAGCCATATTAGAGTCTTAAGATATCATTTAAGACAATTTTGAAATAAGAATTAACTTAGGCCAAAGAGTAACTTTTAAATTATTAGATTCAGATCTTTCTCTCTTCTCTTGAGAAAGATAGTTATCTCCGAGTTTTTTTTATATCCTGCGTGACATTAATATCGTGACTGACAAAGTAATTGCACCCGACGATAAAACATACCGTACGTTACATCGTCCGCGAAACTTTGATGCAAAGTTGATCCGAGGATGAACTATAACATATCTTTGTGTGTGGGACCACACAAGTCGATTAACATTAAACTTGGCATACAGGTTCCGCGGAACAATCAACGGTAACTATATATTCAATTTTTATATTTGAATATTAAGCAGTGGCGCATCCTGTTGTCGACGACCTGTCTCCCTCCGTCCTGGACCTTCGCGTTCTCACAATCGAAGCTACGCACACGCATAAGATGGATAACGCTTTTCGATTCTTTCTTTTTTTTCGCTTGTTACGATGCGCAGAAATCGCTGAAGGCATGGACCGTATGGTACTTTTGGCGCACCTCATTACAGTGCTATTACATTTCTATTACGTCAAGTACCATTTGTGTTCAACGGTCCAAAATTTATTCCGGCGAATATGTAAAGCAATTCTCAAAAGTTTAATTCTATCCGATCGTATTAAAGTGATTGAAAGTGAAAAAGAAATATTTATGATAAGATTTAACTAACACAAAGAATCTAGTTACCCAAAAATTTAACGATTCAATGTTTTATATGTTGAATGTTAAGTGTAATAATCAAATAAAATGAATCTTATCACTTAATTATGTTTTAATAATACATAAATATTAAAAAGATTTTTTAAATATTTTTAATTTAAATTCATTATATTTAGATCTGTAATGCGATCGATATGTTTTGAATTTCAATATCTTTCGCATTAAAAAATGTCCGACGCGTTTCCCAATGAAATGCTAACCAACATCAATGTTAGATTATAATTTCATATTCAATATAATGTAATATAACATATATTATATGTAACAATAATATTGAATGTGTTATACATAGCATTGATGTTACTATTAGTTGATATTTACTGGATCCACTGGATCGTCGAATTTTTCACTGGATTCAATGAAAAATTCGACGGAAAACCGAGAGATTATCCACCGTTGTAATTACCAGCGACGTACAGCAGTCAGGTAACCCGTTCATTTTTAAACTATGATAAACTAGTGCTTGCCTACGGGCCAGGAATTTGCTTCTATGATTTATGCTAATGCGACGGACCTACCCTAAAGCAGCCTCCACTAAACGCTCTATTAGGCTTAAGTTAATTACGACTACCTTCCTGCGGCGGGCCGGCCTGACGCCGATCGTTACCATATTACAATACATATATTATGCCCGATTAACGTTGCCAACGCGCGCGCGCGTTTCATGAATGTTAAAAAACATAAGAATGGTCGGTGGTGATTGCAAGTGACCCTCCTTTCTCTCCGGTTTCTATATCATTTGTAGGAAGGTATACTATTTTCCTTTATTACATCTTTTGTTTTCCCGTTGTCCTTTCTCCATCGTACATTAGTTTCCTTTAATCATCTAATCTAATATGATCATTAGCGAAGATGACTCTTATCATAAACATTGATGTACCATTTATGTAAGAGGAATGTAATTTATACTTAATATTGCTTACAAATAGTCTTATAATTAATCTTTTTTTTTATCACACTGAGAAAAATATCTGGTTGAAAATGAACGAATCAGAAGATTCTGATTATTTCGATCAGAATTCCGGTTACCTCAACTAGAATTCTAGTAAATTTAATTAGAAATTCTTTCTGATTCGTCCTTTTCAACCAGAATTTCAATTAATTCAACCACATATTTTTCTTCAATGCAGTATTATGAATTAATAATATACAAAAAGCTTCTTTTTTATCAATTTGTAAAAATTCTAGTAGACAGATGATTTGCATAATTTTTATAACTTTTCAACAATAATTACTTGAAGTAAAAAATATGTAATAAACTTTCTCTAATAATTCTAATCGGGATCCTATTAAGCTGACAAATTTTTGGGATTGTGGAAATTGGGGTCCACAATCGTTGTATCATATATATTATATATTGCAACGAGATTATTAGAAATTACGGAAATGATGGCCCACGCATTTCTAAACGTCCCCGTATTGGGCGGTCTAAAAAGCGGCGAGAGAAGGACCTCGGACAGCGGATCCACGTTCTTTCGGATATGACGGACGATTATCAACAATAACTTCATTTTACCCTGGGACCGATTTCTCAGTGGTTTTTGGTGCGTCTGATCGCGCCGCGAGCGAGACGCGCCGCCTAGTTATTTGCGCGCGCCCCGATATGCCATTTCACGTAATCGCTAATTGACCCCCAGATTTCAGGGAAGACACAAAGTCGCAAACGAAAAATGGACCCACCCCCGTAGCGGTGGCGTCGTTACGCTTCTACGTCGCGGTTGACCACCGAAAGCGTTAAGCTAGCCGCTAGCTGTCGTCAGCTATGAAATACCGATCTCTCAGGGAATTGGCTTTATGACTTCGACGAACGCACGTCTACTATCGGAGATCGTAAGGTCGCTCTATTTCTTTACAGACAACACGTTATAAGTTAGAAAAAATGAGGGTCTTATTGATATTTTGATACCATTTAATTTTTAATTCAGAGCCAAAACGATTTGTGAAGCAATGTATTTTTAATTGAATTATTAAATTAATTTTTGTATTAATTAATTGAGCAGTATTCATCGCGACGACTCTCAACAGCTTTCGTTTCTTTGTTTTTCATTGGTCAATTATTTGATGATGAAAATAAATAAAGTGTATAGAACTTTCAATTTTTAATTATGAATTTATAATTAAAAATTGACATCCTCATAATTTTATTTAGCTTTACAATGTGCTTATTATTTTAGAATACATATTACTGTATTTGAAGTTATTCGTTGTACTATTTACTAATAAGGATTTCCTATTAATTATTATTATATTATTAAATAACAATAAATTTAGAAATAAATAAAATTTTAAATTACTAATTTGTAGTTTAATTTGAAGTATGTAATTTAAAGTAAATTACAAATTAGTAATTTAAAGTTCTATTTATTTCCAAATTTGTAGTTATATGATAACAGAATAGGAAATCCTTATTCGCAAAGGGCAGAAAGAGATTCCAAATATCCGTGTTCTAAAATAACAAGCAGGATCTGTAGCTGAATGAAATTATGGAGACGTCAATGAGCATCCGATTTAACAGGCGATCGTGCAGGGTATATTGCATTCCTTAGAAACGTCGATTGGATCGATTGGTGTTCCAAGACGAAGAAATCACCGCGGGCCGATCGCTCGTCTCGTTTTCGAGCCTTCGTTACGGCGATGGGGCCTCGTTTGAGAAATGTTTCACGCGTTCGGCAGAATAGAGGAGCGCACGTCATGCTTAGAATCACCGGGCAACAACACAACAAAATGAAACGGCGGCGGCAGCAGCACTCTCTCGTAAGGACAGAATGAGGAATCTGAAAAGCGGAACCGTATAATGCGGTAATTGTATTCCCGGAATCAGCGCGGCACGCACTCTCCTAACAAGCCTCTACGAGTTCGTCCTGTCTGGCTGGCTGTGTAGACACGAGAGCAGAGCTGAGAAGCACCCTGGCCACGCATCAGCAGAAGCAGTAGCTCACCTAATAATTAAAAAAAAGAAGACAAACGAGAAACAAATTATTTACATGTCCATATTGTGCTATTTTTTTATTTTATTTTATTTTATTTTATTAATATTTTATTAATATATTTGAAGAATTACATCTGTGGTACACAAAAATAAGGAGAACTTTTATATAAATCAAATAAGAAAAAGATTTCTATTTTCGGTCAAAGCGGATCTTTGTGCTTGACAATATTTATATGCAAATTTTTGCAAATATACTTTTCAGTTTAATGACTGTGCGCCGATTTGAAACTTGAAATGCAATCATAAATTGAAACTGAATTAACATTTTATATTGATCATCAATTTAATAATAATGTTAATAAGTATCTTAAAATGCAAAGAATTTATTGTTGCGAAGAATACTACCTCAACTGGGATTCAAACTTAGAGATCTTTTATGTAATTATAATTTATATATCTATATGATTATAATTTATGCAATTATATGATATTTATCGTAGAAATAGTAAAGATAATTGTTGAATAATGTGTGCCACGCATTATTCATATTTTTTTAATAATCATTAATAATAATATTGTTTTCAAGATTTTGATACATTTTTTAAAAAATTAGTGCTACCATTTTCAATAACTTTTTAGATAGATAGATACAAAAAATGAATAAATACTAATAGACACTAATTTTAGACAAAAATGTGTGTGGAATGCAGTGTGTACTCTTAAGTTATCTTCTTAACATGCCCTAGAAATTTTAAGGAATACCTAAATTCGGAAGATATGGGCGAGTGAGTGAGTTGCAAGTTATGAAGGACGGCAATCCGTTCTCGGAAGGTAGCAATAATGATTTTGGGTTAATTGCTCGCTTCTCGATCTAATGGAGAACATATCTATCAGCACGCTGGATTCAATGAATTATTGATGAAACGTGGCCATGGTAAAGAGGGAGGGAAAGGTCAATCGATCGTCTTTGAGGATGAGGGTGGAATAAACGGCGTTCCTTCGAATATAAGAATTCCAGCCCCAAAATATTTCGTCCAGTCCGCGAAAGCTTACGTCTCTATCTGTGAATGCATATTCATCGAACTGGCCCTGGCTGAAATACAGGGATAGACGCGCACAAAACACGAGGGATAGGAAATCTTCGTGGAGGGCCGGCGGTGGGATCGCCGTCATACGGCGCTCTCATAAATTACCGCTAGTTGCCGGGTAACATGTTATTTGCCACCGAGCTCCACAAATGAGTTCACTTTGTATTTAATTACTCGACTCACGCCCAGGGCGTATCCTGATGGCGGATCCACCCTGCACCGCCGCGGCGGGCCGCCTCGCGCGTAGTTCCTCTTCTTCGCTTCTTTCTTCTTCGCCGCTCCTGCAACGACTCGTGCAATCCTCATTTCAAGCATCGCATTACTTAATTCTACACTTGTTATCAAAGTGGTGTCTTCATCTCTCAAAGCGCTTTATCTATGATAAAACGAATTATCTCTGACTGTTTTTCCACACACTTTTCGTATCTATAACAATATAAATAATTTTTATTGATAATTTCTTACATTTATTTTAGCATTAATCTATATTTTTGTTATAGATTATTGTCGATATTAAGAAAATTGTTTAAATATGCAATTATTTTAAATTACAGTAAAGCATTCTTTGTGGCGTAGTAATGCATTCTCAATTTACATTTGTACAAATCATGAAAATCGAATTATGAGCCGTGTAATTTTGGTTGAGGAAAGCCGTTCCTTGATAAATGCGTTATCTGGTCTGTTTCGATTGCGTCGGCGAGTTTCTGGCAAGTCAAGAAGTCCAGACACGCAGCGGAATGAGTGGGTTGTGCGCGCAACTCCGACGTCACGGGCAGGTAGATATAAAGGTAAAAGGTGGAG